ACTTTAAGGTGAGAAGAAACAGTGCAAATTAATGCACATGCATTCTGCTCACCAAATTGCACTTAAACCAACAGTCATGTGAGGAAGGCTGTTTTGCGCTGTCACGCACTGTGACAAAGAAGAAGTTCTGAGTCCCAGTGGGGAATCAAACATCAGAACCTCGTTATTTTCAGGTTTAATTCCTCATCAAGCCTCTGAGTTTTTCCTTTGTCCCACATTTGTAACTAATGCAAGACCATCTTTCCTTATTTCATTACTGAGCTTAAAGTTTACTGTTTCTTAGTCAACTCACAACATTTTAGGACATTATTCAAGAAATAACAAAAGCAAAGTAACAAAGAGGAAGTGGTATAGCAAAAACCTCTTCAAAGCTACATGTATTGTGACTTGTTTTGAACCACAAATGTTGATGGTGTGTTCTTGAATAAAAAATGTCCATCGTAAGTTCTGCTCCAAAAAAACGACAGAAATATAACTGACAACAATCAAAGTATTTACTTACTTGTACCAGTTTGTCAAGGTCATCATGATGTAAAGAGAGGCCAGGAACAACATAAAATGATAAAAGGAGTAGCTGTAAGCCACTTCATCTTGTTCATCATCATACACCCGCTGTCCATTCCCTTCCTCCATCAGGTTTACATCACTGGTAGCACCTCCCCCATCATGAAGAATAGTGGCTTCAGTAGTACCTGAGGAACTTGCTGTAGGGTTCTTCATACCAAGTTTTCCGACTTGTGAGCTGCTTGCTGTCCTAACACTTGCATACACAACCATGAGAAACATCACCACAACACCAATGATGGCTTGTTTGTCAATGCTCTTCACTGAAGGGTCAGTGTTCACAAAAGGATTACATGAAGAATCTGAGAGAAACATGATAAGTGCTACTAAACATGATGTACTTTACTATTTTTTTTTTTAAGTATACTCTTCAGTTTAGTCAATCGAAAGTAACATGTGCTTAAATAGATGATATTCTGTGAAAACTATCCTCTGAAAACACCAAACAGGTCCTAACCTTTTAACTCCCGTGAGTGACCAAAATAGAATTTCTCCTCATCATATCAGTACAATATCAAGCAGGCAAGTGATGAGAATTGCAGTTGAACTTACAAAACTGTAAACACCTAAAATAATTATGTCTGGGATGCTTAGTCCTTTTTTACCTCATGGTGTGATGTACATGTAAGTCATACTAGGGGATTAGGGTTTGGGGGCAAAATTCAATTAAAAATCACACACTCACTTTGCTAGACATTAATTTATGCATTAAACCTGGATTAAACACTTTTTCTCCCCCTCCCGACAAGTTTACCTGTTCAAAGTCATGGTGTACGTTTATTCTGGGGGTCGTATAAAGGCGAGAATATGCCGAATTACTTGGACAGATTCAAAATGGCATCCTGTCCTTTGAAGCATGATGGTTTTTTTATTCCAAACTTGATGAAAACATACCTTTGTGGAGCCAAAAATGGAAAGGAAATTTTTCTCCACCAAAACGCTTGCAAACACAATAATTGTGCCAGCGCGTGTTGCCCACGATCCAAAAAAACTTTCCAAAGAAAGCCAGATCGCAGGTTACATTAAGGGTGCCAAAAATTCATACCATGACAGGGCTCGAAATATATTTGAATTACACCTTGCCCGTTGGGCAAGTAACCCTTAAGTTTTGCTTGCCCGGGGCACTTCCCGGCTTGCCCAAGTTTTCAAACTAATTAATAATTCATCAACAGAGATTTTCCTGGATTTTACCTGGATTAAAGGGCTAGCTTCATTTTCGCGGTAGAAATATGCAACTTCTCAGTTTTCATGTACCATTTCTACAGTTTTAATTACTATATCGCTGTTGAGTTAAGTTTTGTACAGAGAAACCGAAACATTCTCGCGGGAAATTGCTACAATTAAGAAATAAACACAGCGTTTTCGTTCCCAACGCGGCTATTTTTATCATGGAAAGAAATTTGATCGGGGAAGATTTTAATCATGTGCTATGCAACCACTTCTGAGCCGTGAGCGCGCTTCACGCAATCAACAAAACAACACTATAAATTGTAATTTTCTTCAAGCTTCATCAAAACACATGACTACCCTTGGGCCTAAAGCTTACCTTTTTTCTCAAAATCGTTATCAAAAATTTAGTCGGCCAACAGCTTGCCCGCTGGATCCTTGCCCGTCGGGCAAGGAAGGAGAGAAAGTTACTTGCCCGAAGGCAAAATCTACTTGTCCCGGATGACTGAACAGGGGTTTTTTCAAGAGGTTGCTCTTGCAGAGGTTGCTCTAAGGAGCCTTTCATTATTAATTCATAAAATCCCTCAAACTGGTTTGGCTCTCCATACATTTAGGAATACCAATTACTTAACTTTTTCTAAAGATGACAGAGGGTGTTTTGAAACTGTTTTAAAACAAACTGGATTCATGACTGATAAAACCCACTTCTGTGGTCTCAAGATCTCCTTTGTGATTGGTTACAAAACAATCAACATTCAAGGCATATTTTAAATTGTTCATGGCTTTGTAAGTTTAACTGTTAAAAAAAGATATGAATTTAGGGATTGTAAGTTGATCCCATACCAAATTCTGAACTAACATAAGAATTATAATGCAGAAAGTAAGGAGCTGAGATCTTGGGAATTAAAGGGCTAAACTGGAATTTGCTGAGTAATAACTAAAGATAATAGAAAAAATTTTAATATTCATTTTGCAAAAATCAGAGAAAAAGAAGCACAACTTTAAACAATAAGTGATAATCATATGTTGAAATGAACACAAAAATAGTATTTTATATTCACTCACCCGGGTCATACAGCAAAGCTGACCATGTTAGGTAAACAGTGTAGAGTGTAATGACAGCTGCCTGGAGCAAACCTGGAAAAAAGTAATAAAATAACACTAAGATAATGTCGAAGGTAAATCAAAGACTACTAATAATAATAAAATTAATTAAATGGAAACTTTTTTTGTGTTTTTAAATG